TTTTGAATATGATTCTGTTTATCTGTTTGGCCATCAAGTACTTGACTTGTTTTTATGGGAGTTAGAGAGGATACTGGTATTTGAATATAGATTATTTAATTACCATTAGATTAGTAATGTTATTATAATTGATTCTTATAAGATTAATTAATCTTTCTTCTTAAATTGTTTAACCACCTATTAAAAAACTAGCTCAAATTAGTTAAAGAATATTAATTGAAACAAATTTACATTAGTATAATTGTTACATGTTAAGCAGGTGTTCCCCACTGTATCTAGTATCACAACTATCACAACATCATCTGACTACATATAGATCCAATTTTCTATAGACCCCAACCATGCCGACCATTTCCCAACATTGAGCCAACAATAACAATAATGTGTGCTACTTGGGCGGACATCCGGTATTTTAAGTTTACTTTTACGACATATTCTAAACCTTTTTGTTTAACTGTTTTGGGAAAAATGTATTATTTTTGGAGTGATTTTAAAACAACTTTAATATAAATGCAATTTTTAGTATAGGCTACTTGAATTATTTTTAAAAGTCTTTTAGTCATGGCCCTAAAACAATTCTTTAAGGAACAAGAAATTTGCAGTCAAAATATATTTTTAAAATGTGTAAACAATATATTTTACCCAGCTCGGTTGAAACAAATTACCAAAATATAGTTTTAAAACTTAAACAGGCTATTTATAAAATATTTATTTTTACAGTTACAATTCTATAAATATTCTTAAAAGCTATATTTTTAGGTGAATAAAATATTTAAAAAATATATTTTACATACAAAAACTTAATTATTTTGTCTTATTATATTAAAAATATTTTGTAAATATATTCAACCGAAAAATAAAAAATATCAAAAAAAAATATTTTTTAGACCATTAAAAAATGATTTTAAAATATTTTGAAACTATTATGTTAACATATTATTAAATAAACGGTATCAGCATTCTGACACATACTTTCTCCCATAAGTTTGTCAACAACCTTTATCATGTGTAAGCGGTGAGAGTAAATATACGGAAATGGGGTTAGTACAATTTTGTTCAGAATTTAAAGGACTACATACTAAATTTTTATCAACATCGTTCGGGCCAATTTGGGAAAATCCGATTTTCCGTTATTTTATGGGGTTTTTATGGGAAAATAACATAATTCACCATAACTTTTGAACCATAATTTTTACAGAAATGGGATTTGTACAATTTTTTTCGGAATATAAAGGACTAAAACATACACCGTTTTTGGGAAAATCCTATTTTTCCGTTATTTTATAGGGTTTTGTGGGAAAACTCCCATTAAAAATAATTTTTTTTATGAAAAAAACTATCAAAACTTAAAGGACCATAACATACTATGTTAAAATAAAACCGGATTTTTTCCTAAAATCCTGATTTTCGTTTTTTTATGGGGTTTTTATGGGAAAATAACCTAATTTACCATTACTTTTGAACCGTAATATTTACAGAAATGGGATTTGTACCATTTTGTTCAGAATTTAAAGGGCTACAACATACTAAATTTGTATCTAAATCGTTCGGGCTATTTTCGATAAAATTCGATTTTTCCGGGTTTTTATAGGTTTTTGAGGGGAAAATTCCCATTGAAAATCAAAATTTAAAAAAAAATGAAAAAACTTCTGTAGATACCATGGATTGGAACCTACATACCAAATTTCATCGAAATCGGACCACAGGTGTAGTCCCTAGCTCTGTACACATCCAGACACACAGACACTCACACACAGACATCACTTCGAAAACCACTTTTTTTGGATCCAGGGGGGCCCAAAACGAATATATCCACTCAAAACTCAAACTCGAAAATTTTGACGAAAACAATACTTTCTCCATATACTGTGGTATAGGGGGAGAAAGTAAAAATTAAAAAAAATATATTTTAAAAATAATATTAAAATGTATAAAATATTTTTAGGACTTCCGTCATCACTTCCTACGTCGCGGACCTGTTTCCCTCCCTTCACATAGCATTTTAGGATTGCATATTCCTTAATCTAATCGTCATAAACAGTTCCCACACTCTGGACCTCTCACCTTTACTACTTCCTTCATCACTTCGTCACAAACGTCGCGGACCTGTTTCCCTCCCTTTACATAGCATATTAGGATTGCATATTCCTTAATCTAATCGTCATAAACAGTTCTCACACTGAACTGCTTGCCTTTACTACTTCCTTCATCACTTCCTATGTGGCGGACCTCTTTCCTTGGGAACATTTCAGGATTGCAGATACCGTAATCTAATCGTTATAAACAGATCCCACACTCCACACTGCTACCCTTGACTACAATGTATCGAGTAATCTTTAGTATAATCTTTGTTAAATAGTAACAACTAAGGTTTTTCTTTTGTACTGTATTTTTAATTTGCTAGTATACTGTGGACAGACAACTTACCAAGCCTTTTGTTTACCTTTTCGTTGTTATTTAATTCAGCCAAGATGGTTACTTAGCAACCCATAAGACTAATGTAAAAAAAATTTGAATTTTTTTGTTTCATATTTCTACGTAATTAGATTTTTGTTGGCAGTTCCAACTGCAGTAAACTCGTTTTTAGGCCAGGAATAAACTATTTACAACATTTGAAGAAAATCGTTGGAGCCGTTTTCGAGATCTTTGTGCAAGCATACATACATACAAGCAAACATTGCTCGTATTAGAGTATAGGATATTTTAGCCTAAAGATAAGCTGTCAACTTGTAATGTATCGTAAAGGAAAACAAAAATATCGATATATCGAGAAAAAATCATCAATAATAATGAATGTTCCCTTTAACAGGAAAGTACCGAGCATTGTCAATTTGGGGTATTAAATATCTTTTCTCAATAGTTAAGGTGGTAAGGCTTCTAAAATCTGCAATACATTCTTTTTCATTAATTAATTTTCCATTTTCATTAATTATGTGTTTTATAAATTTGATTCTCCTTACTAAAGTCCATTTTATCGGCAGAGGACAAGACTGAAGAGTATTTTTAAGTTCAATTCTAATCGATTCACCAACAAATTCAATCATTGTATATGGACAATTATTGCATGAATTGACATATCTTTTAAAATAACCAACAACATTTTTCTTACAAAAATTACAATTCTTATTACTTTGTAATATATGCGATTTTAGAGCCATGTTATTATCACAGATTAAATCACAAACCTTGCACAGTTTCACCTTCATTTGATGTATTAACTTGTAGTGGCGGACCAAATTGCTCTTCTTGGAGAGCGACACTGGGCACAGTGTACAGGTCGGCATCATGCTCGATAATGAAATATCATGCGGATGTCACTTCTATATATAGACTCGTCCCCGGTGACGTCACCACCTGGGGATTCCCCAGTCTCATGACCACTTCACTTGGCCCGTGTGGCTGTACCCGCGACGGGGAGCGCACCCGAGTTCACGTGCAAACTGTGTTGTTATTCATATGTGTTTAAAAACATATGGTGTTAGAATATTATTTGTTTAGTTTTTGTTGGTAAACATTCTGGATCGGGATTTATTGTAAGAGCTACCTAATAAAGTATTTGTCTTATTAAAACTACATTTTAATTCAACTTACGATAACACTACATGGTGGCAGCGGGTTTTTTATTGTTTTAGCAATACAGTACATAAAGATGAAAAGTTTTAGTGTTCCTTCCCCAGAACATTTTGATTTTAAAGGAGAAAACTGGTCTAAATGGAAAAACCGTTTCTTGCGCTTTCATGCGGTATTTGGCCTCACCAATGAAGACGAACCGTATCAGGTAAACACCTTACTATATATGATGGGCGAAAAGGCCGAAAGCATATTTGAATCATTTAATTTGACATCTGAGGAAAGTAAAAGTTTCAAAACTGTTTTAACAAAATTTGATACATATTTCGCTCCTTCTAAAAATGTAATCTATGAGAGGTACATGTTTCATACTAGGGTTCAACATGAGGAAGAGCGTGTTGAAAGTTTGATTCATGATCTTCATGAGATGGCTTCTAGATGCGATTTTCCTGCTTCTTATAAAGATGAGGCTATACGAGATCAACTTGTTGTAGCGATTAGAGACAAAAGTTTATCTGAAAAACTACAAATGAATGCAGATCTAACACTTAATTCTGCTGTCTCAAATGTTAAGCAAGCCGAATCGATTAAAATGCAACAATCGTTTATGAGGTCCAGGTCTTCTGAACATGCACTAACTGCAGATAAAGTCACTTCAAGGACTTGGGGCACTAAATTTGGTCAGAAACCTCCAGTTGATTCCTATTCGTCCAGTAACAATTACTACAATCAATGTCAGTGGTGTGGTAACGCTGAACATGAACGACCAAAATGTCCTGCCCGGAATATTTTCTGTCGAAACTGTAACAGGAAGGGCCATTTTGCTAAATGTTGCCAGTTCAAAAATGTCAAGGAAATAAATTCAAATCCTCTTCAAGATGAAGTTATTAAGAATGACAAATTTGTTTTTTGTCTATTAATCCTCAAAAGAATCTTAAGCAAAATGGTCTGCTGAAGTTAAACTAAATGGAGTATGTACTCAAGCTAAGATAGACACTGGAGCTGACGTTTGTGTTTTGCCCCAATCACTTTATAAGTTGAAATTATTTATGTACCCACTAAATTCAAGTAACAAAGTTTTAATTGGGCCTAACGGATCTGTCCTTAATATCTTAGGCGTATTCGAGGGTACAATCCAGTACAAGAATCAATATTGTAAGTCTCAGTTTTATGTAATATCTGGTGCTGATAGAACCCTTTTGAGCAACGAAGTTAGTGAAAAATTGGGTCTAGTTAAAAGGATGTTTCGAGTCAACTCAACTGGCTCATTTTATCCCTTTACATCATACCCTAAACTTTTCAGCGGTCTTGGTGATACACAAGCTCATTATAATATAAAATTAAAGCCAAACGCTGAACCGTACTCTCTCAAAGTTCCAAGGCGTGTTCCCCTACCCTATAAAGACGCTGTAAAAAAAGAACTGGATACAATGTTGGATAAAGGTGTTATCGTGAGAGTAGACACTCCGACTGACTGGTGTTCACCTCTTGTCATTGTCCCTAAAAAGGACAATTCAATAAGACTTTGCGTAGATTTTACTAAACTTAATGAGAGTGTGAAACGAGAACTATATCCTGTGTCTTCTGTAGACTACACTCTGGGACAATTAGATGGTGCTAAGGTGTTCTCGAAACTAGATGCTAACTCGGGTTATTGGCAAATACCCATAACAGAAGAAGCTTCATATTTGACTACTTTCATCACACCTTTTGGAAGGTTCAGATTTTTACTACTTCCTTTCGGGATTTCCACTGGTTCAGAAGTATTCCAGCGTCAAATGTCTGAATCACTTGAAGGGCTTCAAGGTGTTGTTTGCCATTTCGATGACATAACTATATACGGGAAAGATATGGAAGACATGACAAAAATTTACATAGTGTTTTGTGTAGGCTCCAGGAAAAGGGCTGGACACTTAATAGATCAAAATGTGTGTTCCGGCATGACAGTATCAGTTTACTAGGCCACCTTGTAACTAAAAATGGTATTAAGCCAGATCCCTCTCGTGTTGAGGCTATCCAAAAACTCAAGACGCCAACTAATGTTAAAAAACTAAGGAGAATTCTAGGTGTTGTCAATTACGTAGCAAAGTTTATTCATAATTTGTCGACCATAGTTCATCCACTACATGCTTTACTGCAAAGAAATACAGAATTTGTTTGGGGGCCTGATCAAGACCAAGCTTTGGAAAATATTAAACTGTCATTGATGTCCGAACCGTGTCTCGCTTTATACAGCATATCTAAAGAAACCTTTCTCTCAGCGGATTCCTCGTCATACGGTATTGGAGTTGCACTACTTCAGCTTCAAGAAGATGGAACTAAACGTCCTGTGGCCTATGCTTCGAGAAGTTTGACATCAGCCGAACGTAATTGGGCTCAAATAGAAAAAGAAGCTCTAGCGATTGCATGGGGGTGTGAACGATTTGAACACCTCATTTTAGGGTTGCATTTGCATATTGAGACAGACCATAAGCCCTTGCTCTCCATATTCAAGATAAAGGACTTGGACAATATTACTCCCAGGCTTCAGAGAATACGACTCCGACTGATGAGATATACATATGATATTACCTACACGCCCGGTAAACAGTTGATTTTGGCTGATGCACTGTCTCGAGACACAGAGAACTCTGAAGAAGAATGGGAACTTACAGAGGAAATCCTTGCATATATACAAAATATTGACACTACTCTACCATCAGTTTCGGATGAAAAGTTGCGAGAAATAAATCAAGAAACCATGAAAGATGAAACTCTAAAACATGTGTCTCAGTATTGTGTGAAAGGTTGGCCGGAAAAATCTAAGATTCCAGAGGATGTATTGCCCTACTGGTATCATAGAGAAGATATAAGTGAGCAAAATGGTATACTTCTCTTTGGAAGTCGTATTATAATACCAAATTCTCTAAGAGCTAATGTACTAAGAAGTATTCATGAAGGACATCAAGGCATAACAAAATGTAGATCTTTTGCAAAATTGACTGTGTGGTGGCCTCGTCTTTCTCAACAAATCAAAGAACTAGTAGAAAATTGCAAGATATGTGCAGAAAATCGTGCTACGAGAGCAGAGCCGCTGATACCAACCCCTTACCCGGACAGACCTTGGCAAATAGTGGGGGCCGATTTGCTGAAGTGCAAAGGTCACTGGTATCTCTTAATCTCAGACTATTATTCCAGGTTTATGGAAATTGCTAGACTAAATGACTTAAAAATGGGCACTATTGTGACATATACAAAGTCCATCTTCGCACGTCATGGTGTACCTGAGACAGTGAGAGCAGACTGTGGTTCTCAATTTGACTGCTGTCAATTCAAACAACTTGGTCGTGATTATGGATTTAAATTGATTACATCAAGCCCAAAATTTCCACAAAGCAACGGCTTCATCGAAGCGCAAGTAAAAAACTTTAAGTACCACTTAGAAAAAAGTGATGATCCCTACAAAATGCTACTTATGTTAAGAGCAACCCCTCTAGAAAATGGGAAAAGTCCAGCGGAATTACTTTTCGGGAGAAGGATCCGCACTTATGTTCCAATAATGTCTGATCAACTAAGACCCTATCTGGTAGACGCTGAAAAGTTAAGGGAAAAGGAAGAAGCAAGAATTGATTGTCAAAAGATTTATTTTGACAAAAGACATAGAGTCAAAGAATTGCCTACTCTACCTGATGGAGCTCAAGTCCATATAAAGGACAGGAATCAAGGAAGAACTATATTAAACATCCTGCACCTCGATCCTATATAATTCAAACGCAAGATGGTTGTTTGCGGAGGAACAGAAGATCACTGCAAAGATTTAGCACTACTATGCCTTCTGATCACACTGAACCAGCACTGCAGACCAGTCCTTCAAAACACCTGAGAAGATCAGAACCTTTCGATCATCCTGCAATGGCATCGCAGACAAATCCTTTAGCAAATCTAAGAAGATCATCAAGACAAGTCAAACCTACCCGGAGGTTCGATCTTTAAAGGGGAGATGTGTTGTTATTCATATGTGTTTAAAAACATATGGTGTTAGAATATTATTTGTTTAGTTTTTGTTGGTAAACATTCTGGATCGGGATTTATTGTAAGAGCTACCTAATAAAGTATTTGTCTTATTAAAACTACATTTTAATTCAACTTACGATAACACTACACAAACCTCGCTCGATTTTGAGAATATACATGTGAATGGATGTGGATTTGAAATGTTAATAGAGCTATACAATGGTATTGGACATTTATATAGGTTTTTATAGGCTGAGAGAGAGCTGGATTTTTTAAAAAAAATGGCCAATAAAAAGCTCGCCATGTTATTCTTATGGGAAAAAACGCCCCAAGTGACAACTCTTTGTCCTATTGCCACTACTGAAGGTTTTTGGTAATGGTTCAAACATTAAGTAACAATAACTATTGACTTTATCAGTGAATTTTTTCCTTCAGACATTGAAAATAATTGTCCCTGGCCCAGGGTGAGCTCAAAGGTCATAAATTACCTGACAGATGATTCCCCCCGTGATTTGTTATCCGTTAATGGTCCTACAAAAAAGAACCTCGTGGCATTATTAAAGTGTTTATCGAGTTGAAATGAACTGTAAAATATTCACTAAAATCCAAACTATGCACTGGATGAACTGAAACTTCGCAATTGTTTCTTTAAGTACTGTATTTACAAAATCATTTTGAAAATCCGTAAATCAGTCTTTTTTCACATGTGATTTCAACTTTTAAATAATAGTTACAAATTAATTTTCTCCATCCATTGCAAGCTCTGATATTTTAAGAGCACACAAATTTAAAATCGTTGGAGACAGATTAGTTTAAAAGCGTTGAGAGCTTTTACAATAGAAGCATGTTCAATCCCAAACTATATTTCAATCCATATATTCCGCCATCTTGAATTGAAATTCAGGCTGGCGCGTACTTTTAAAGCCACTTTATGTTTACATAAAACAATTTTTTACTATCCATATACAAATCCAAAGTAGGTACCCATGAACTTTTGAGAAAACTTCAAGTCATCACAAGAAACCTTGCGCAAAACTATCCATTATTTCATAAATTGCCCTTTAAGAATTACTTTCTAAAGGGAACTTTCCATATACCTAATGTTAAAAATACCTTTGCTGTACTTATTTGTTTGTTGTTCTTTCATGTGTAATTATTTGTTTGTATTACTGTATTCTGTTTGTTTATTTCAGCTTAACTTAACCAATCAATAGTTTTATTATTACTTGAAGCCAAACTGGGTGAAGGTCGTGGGTAACAACTAGTTAAGTATAAGTACTTGGGGACCGAGATTTGCTCGGGGAAAATCGTTAGTTTACTCTGAAAGCAGTTTAGTATTGCAGATAGTTGACTACTTCCTTCATCTCTTCATACGTCGCGGACCTATTTTCTTCCCTTCCCATAATATTTTAGGATTGAAGATACCTTAATCTAATCGTCATAAACAGTTCCCACACTCTGGACTGCTCGGCCTTACGTCTTCCTTCACCCCTTCCTACGTCGCGGACCTGTTTTCCTCCTTTCCTATAGCATTTTAGGATTCCATTCCATTTTTTTTCCATTTCCATTTTGTTTTGTCATGAGAGCAAGAAACTCCCTGACTGCTAACCCGGTACCTATAATTAAACATACCCGGGCCCCATGATGTAGGCCGAAGCTTTCGCACCGACCTTTGGTACACCATGGGAGGATGACTTAAGGTCATCAAGCTCACCGGCTGCCGAAGCAACCCTTCGGAAAGAGGGTTGCCCCTCAATCCTAACCAGGGATACCGGCTACTTTTTTAAGCGTCACTTCACCTGGGTTCCCCCAGGTACGGAACCCAGAAGGACCATAGTGAAATGCCCTGACGCATTTAGTGCAAGTAACACTCGGGACCTATCCAATCCCTGACAGGCAAAACCCGCCATCAAAGCCAGGAAGAAGGGGACCACCAGCAAGCTGATGGGGGGAACCCCAACCACCAATTTACACCACTACCCGATCGAGGCCTTACCCAGTTGCTGGGAAACCAGAGGTGACCAAGGCGATAGATCCCTGAACACCCCCAGCGGGCTTGAACCCAGCACCCGATCTACTTCATTTGCCCATCAAGCCCAACATCACTGCCAGGCCGTCAGGGTTTCCCAAAAGGAGGCAGGAATAGAAGTGGGTCCCACCCGGATGAACCTATCCACCAAAGGTGGCGACACCCTTTGCTCAATTGAGGTTCCAGGGAGAACCCCCCACACTCTAGATAACCATACTTTCCAGTCATGGTTCAGAGTTCACCGAGTGCACATCGTCCCCAGTGCGAGTATTTTGTGATAGTGCGGGCATCAGAATTGGCGGAGTTTTAATTTCGCTATTGTGATCCCATGTGCTTTTACTTAGGTTTTAATTTGGTTATCGCAATTATAGTATCATTATTTTAATATTTCCACTCTAAAAAATTATCAAAATGCCTAATTGTAGTCGGTGTAATGGTATACTGTCCCAACAGTCGCTTAAAATAACGTGTGTCGAGTGTAACAAATGTTTTCACTTAAAATGTATGAACATGACGAAAACTGACCTAGATGCATTGGTGAGTGAAAATCTTGAATGGCGGTGTCAAGAATGTGCGTCAGAGCGGCGAAAAAGTATGCGTTTTGAGTCGTCTACCGCGTCTGGCGGTGCGACTTTGGACGATATCATGAAAGAAATTTTGGAGTTGAAAAAATCGCAGAGAGACTCGGTGAAAGATTTTAATAAAACCACGGATACAATTTTTGAAAGGATTGATGAGTTGAAGAATGTTGTTGAATCCCAGCGGAATTTATTCGAGTCCTATATCGAACGAACTGAGAACCTAGAAGCTGAGAATCGGAAACTCCGTCTGGAACTGGAGGATGCCCGGACACGCATCGAGGAAACCGAGCAATATACCAGGGCTAACTGCATCGAAATTCATGGAGTCCCCAACACGAGCGGTGAAAACGTCGTGGATATTGTTAAGAAGGTAGGAGCTGCAATAGACTTTGAAGTGACAGACTCGATGTTGGACAATTGTCATCGTCTAGGTAAATCTTCTCAGGAACGTCCGGCAGGAATTATTGTAAAATTTGTCCGTCGGATGGATAAAGAAAATTTCCTCGCTAAAAAACGAGGAAAAAAAGACTTGTCTACTCGTCATATGAATCTCGGCACCGACCGTCCCGTGTATGTGAACGAGTCCCTGTGTCCGTCGCGTCGGAAACTCTACGGTCAGGCCCGACAGATCAAAAAGGACAAACATTACAAATACATATGGCTGCGAGGCGGGAAAATTCTGCTCAGAAAGTCCGACGGTGGTCCAGTGATATCAGTAGCGTGTCACCGCGACCTGGCTTCACTGTAAGGTGTGTTTACATTATGATTCAATCACGTTACGTTACTCGTTACTCAATTTCAATCTGACAACTGTGTTTTTTTTTGTTTTTTTTTTAATTACAACTGTTATTTTGTCTATGTATCATCTATTATCATGTCTATCTCATGCAATCTAATTACTTATATATTTAGTTTAAATAGTTTATAATGGAAAATGACTTTAATCGTATTTTTAGTAGTCAGCTGGTAATAATTCAGCAAAACATTAGAAGCGTTAGAACCAACTTTGATAGTTTTTTAACATGGTTGTCAAGTATTACTACACCCCAGCCTCATATCATTGTTCTTACTGAAGTATGGATTCATAAAAATGAAGCTTCCATGTATGAAAATTACGTGTTAGTAGAAAACTGTAATGATCAAAACAAAGCTGGAGGCATTTTGGTTTATATAAATAGTGTAATTGCTTTTGATGTAGGTAGCATAAATAATATTTTTAACTCTGACGTTTTACATTGTACCTTAAATCAATTTAACTTTATCTTGTTATCAGTTTATAGATTGCATAGTGTTGATAAGAGTGTTTTTATAAAAAATTTAAAAACCTATTTTGAATGTATTGAAAGACACAACTGTATTGTAGTTGGAGATATGAATTTGAATTTATTAGAAGACTCATCAATTGTTAACGAGTATTTGGTGACAATGAGTAGGTAGTTATGGTTTTGAATCGTTTATTAACGAGCCGACACGCATTTCTGGTATTTCTCAGTCGTGTATAGATCATGTGTTTTTGAGAATAAAGAATAGGTCGAGTTTTGATGTATATTCAGGTGTAATTCACTGTGGTTTGACTGACCACAGTATGACCAGTGTAGGCCTGTCCTGGGGCTCGGACGACACAGACGACACGTCGCACGACCTTGAAGAGGTCCGCACGCTTATCAACTACGATAAGCTCAATGAGATGTTAGCCACGGTTGACTGGTCACTCGTTCTTAATCAGACGAATGTTTCAATTGCTTTTGATATTTTTATTGACATTTTAAATCATTACATTAATTTGTGCAAAGAAGTAAAATTAAAGAAATGTAAATATAAGTTTTTAAAGCCATGGATTAATTCATTACTGTGTAGCAAAATCAAGAGAAGAGAGATTATTTATAAGAAAACGTTGAAATCCCCCAATGATAAAAAACTATTAAACTACTACACTTTGCTTAAAAATAAAACTAATTTTGAAATTAAAGAAACAAAAAAGAATTACTATTCCAATTTGTTTAATAAATGTAATGGTAATTCAAAACTTGAGTGGAAGGTAGTAAATGAATTGACGGGTCAGAAAAAGTCGAGACACGACATCGATAGTATTATTGTTAATGGAGATAACATATCTAATAAACTAATGATAGCAAACAGTTT